AAAAAAATTACGGCATCCTTACCATTTATTGAAATCGATTTAAAATTAACTCCAGAACAAATGTCCATGTTTATTAATGGTCTCAAATATGTACCACCATGTCAAATACGATATATTCGTAAACCATCTATCGATAAAAAACTTACTGAACAATATGAAAATATATCCAACATTGTAAAACAATGTCTCAAAGATAATATTATGTCAACAACAGATGAACGAGCAAAACAAGCATTTTCAGATTTAGAACGTATCGTACAAGAATTAAAACATACGAAAATTTCAAAAAAATTACATTATCGTGCACGATTTGAAAGAAGAATTGTTCGCGGTATTCAAAATTTATTACGTCAACGGCCAGATGTTGTACTATGTCGTGCCGATAAAACAAAAGCATTGTATTGTGGTAGTAAGGCTACGATGATTGCTAAAGCATATGAATATATGACTAGAACGAATGCTTATGAAACAATTACAAATGATCATTGTCCTTTAACTGATATTGTAAATGCTGTAAATGGATTGCTCGATAGTCTTGTAAAACAGAAAGGTCTAACAATAAGACAAGCAAATAAATTACGACCTAATTTAAATAGATTAGAATTAGCTCATTTTCATGGTCTACCTAAAACACATAAGGTAAATAAAATTTTGAAATGATCAAATCGATTATTTATGATGTTTTTGTTATTTTGTTCTTTTGTCTGTAGGATGGTACACCATTACGACCGATCATTGCATCGATCAATGCACCAACAACATTAATATCAAAATTTTTAAATAATCTTTTAGCACCAATCTATTTGCAAGTAGCTCGTGAAACAACTTTTATCAATGATATCGATACCGTACGAAAATTAGAAAAATATGTTTCACATCGGTATTTAACATCAACAACACAATTTATTACAGCTGATGTTAAAGATCTTTATACGATGATACCACGAGATGGAGCTATTGCAGCATTGATTCGGTTTTTAGAAAAATATTCTTATCATGGCAAGATTGGTACATTAAGTATTGATCATATTGTAAGAATGGCTCGTCTAATATTAGATACGAATTATTTTGCTTATGAAAAAACATACTATCGACAAAAACGTGGTGGAGCAATGGGTTCAGCATTTACACAAGTCTTAGCCAATATTTATATGTTAGAATGGGAACAAGATTTAATTCGGTATCAAACTCAACATCATGAAATTTATGGGAGGTCAGTGAACAGTATTACTTTCTTTCTTCCATATCATCCTTATGTTTCTCTCCTATTTAGATATATCGATGATATATTTATGACTACCAATCAAACAACAAATGAAATTATAAATGAACTCAACAAAGCAGCACAGAAAGATATCAATATTCAAATTGAATATAAAATTTCTATATCCGTTGATTTTCTAGATGTAACGATTACCAATGAAAATGGACACTTAAGAACATCCATATATCATAAACCAACTGCTGAACCTTATATTTTACCTTTTACATCGGATCATCCACGTCATATTCATCGAAATATACCCTATGCAGCTCTATTACGTGCTGTACGTCTATGTTCACATGTCGATGATTTTCATATGGAACGAATTCGTATTGATATGTCGTTATTATTAAATCATTATCCACCAAAGTTTATTACAAAACATATTGATCGATTCTTTCGTTTAAATAATGTTATCTCTATATTAAAAAGAGTAGATCAACAACAAGTGTACGAAGAATTACATAAAAAATTACTTGAACAATTAACACGTCGTGAAAAAACCTTGAAAACCATGATGCAAGATTCGATAAAAAATCCGCAAGTTTTACAAACGAAGATATGGGATCGCAAAGTTATGTATCCACGTTATCAATTTGACAGTGGACTAACATTAAACTTTCGTCGATCTTTCCATTCTTGGTGGTTAAAACATTATGTCTTTCCCACATCTAATGTCAACAACGTTCGAATTCGATTAGTACCAAAAATAAATCGTACACTCGAACATTTCTTCATTCGTAAAAAACCACCACGTGAAATGTTAACAGAAAAGGAACCATCCACTTGATCATTGGAAGAAAGACATCATATCTCTATTCTTTTAATGTTCATTCGAAGAATGAACATAGTTCTTTTATCTCTACTATTGAATTCTTACGTTGCTATACTTTATTTAATAGCACATTTTACCCTTCCCTATATTATTATATTCGTTCATTTGCTTTACAAGTTCTCTTTGTTTCTTTGTTCATTGTTCAGCATTCCCTTTTATTTATTTATTCATTTTAACTAAAAGTTCCTTTTCCTTATTTCTTCATTGTCTCTCTCATTTTTTAATTCAAAGATATCGCTTATTCCTTTATTCTAGATAAATTAATCTAATCTTAACTAAGAGATAAAGTCGCCATCTACACTAACTTTTACCTACAACAGCAAAAACTGCATCCATATTTCCCAAACAATCCTATTTCCAACGATTCCTTCGACAACCACTCAACATAAACACGCTTCACTTCAACAAAAAAGCCTCAACATCTATCCGCAAACATATATATCGCAACACTCACAACCAACTGACCGAACTCTACTAATCACTTCTAAACTCACGCGGCACAAAACTACCCCAATAAATACTTGGAAACTACGCACTCATCTAATATTTCTCATTTACAACCTACTACAAAACAACAAAAAACCATAATCCATATAACCACTGAACTGGATGGCACAACAACTGATGTCGTCCGACTTCAAATCCTTGACACATTTTTCATATTTGGTATTAAACACACCCTTTATGGAATTTAATAACTAT